CACACACACACACACACACACACACAGATTTTACGTCAGGAAAATCTCACAAATGCTTGTGGAAGATTGATGTGTATACTCTCTCTCTCTCTCTCTCTCTCTCTCTCTCTCTCTCATGCTCATTGTCCCCAAAGCAAAAATCACACCACACCACAGCAGCGCACACCACACCACAACCCCAAGCTCACACACTCCACATCCCAAGCTTTGCCCCACACACCCCAATCCCACGCCCCCATCCTCCACAATCCTACACCCACACATCCCACGCCCCCATCCCTCCACAACCTACGCCCCCCATCCCCTCCACAATCCTACGCCCCCATCCTCCACAATCCTACGCCCACACATCCCACGCCCCATCCTCCACAACTTACGCCCACACATCCCACGCCCCCATCCTCCACAATCCTACACCCACACATCCCACGCCCCATCCTCCACAAATCCCACGCCCACCCACACTCTATGTCCTGAAAGAAGCCCAGGAGGACGACTGACATTTACCAGAAGTTTATAACACATTGTTGACATTAATAATATCAATACTGGTTGACACACACACACACACACACACACACACACACACACACACACACACTGTTTACACGCGTATACTGATAATGTACTTCTTTGATAATTTTATTATGAGAGAGAGAGAGAGAGAGAGAGAGAGAGAGAGAGAGAGAGAGAGAGAGAGAGAGAGAGATATGATAGATAAAAAAATAAGACACCGGGAGGGAGATAAAGATATATATAAAGAGAGAGATAAGAATTAAAAACAGCCCTATAAAAGAGAGAGATAAAGGCGAGTTAAAACATCACACACTATAAATACGACGAGCTGGCCAGGTAAGATTCAGGGGACAACACAACCCAACACAGCATAACACAACACAACATAACACAACCCAACACAACACAACACAACACAACACAACACAACACAACACAACACAACCCAACACAACACAACACAACACAACCCAACACAACACTTTAAAACCAAAGGCACCACACGACAGTAAATCAAAACACAAACACAAATGGCTCTCTACCATAAGGAACTTCAACCTCAACTAAAGGACTGACTTGGCAATCCTTCAACCTCCTGTGTCTTGGTCTATCAACCCATCTACTTGCTGGTTCTACTTGGGAGGCAAACAGGCAGACGGACACTCTTGACATTATGAGTTTGTTTACGTTTAATAATAATATTTAACTTTCTGAGAGTTAGTTTATTTTAAAGATAATATACTTGTATAAATAGTTTCAAGTGAAATATATTGTTTGTTTTGATGTTGGTTTGGATAATTTGTCTGCTAGATAGTAAGAATGAAGAGGGGTGAGGAATGATGGGAAAGGGTATGTGTGTGGGGGGGGGTGGTGTGTGTGTGTGTGGGGGGGGCTGGTGTGTGTGGGGGCTGGTGTGTGTGTGTGGGGGGCTGGTGGTGGTGTGGGGGGCTGAGGTGTGTGTGTGGGGGTGGTGTGTGGGGTGTGTGGGGGTGTGTGTGGGGGGGTGTGTGTGTGTGTGGGGGGGTGTGTGTGGGGGTGGTGTGTGTGTGGGGGTTGGGGTGGGGGCTGGTGTGTGTGGGGGCTGGTGTGTGTGTGGGGGTTGGTGTGTGGGGGCTGGTGTGTGTGTGTGTGGGGGGTTGGTGTGTGTGTGTGTGGGGGTTGGTGTGGTGTGTGTGTGGGGGCTGGTGTGTGTGTGGGGGTTGGTGTGTGTGTGTGGGGGTTGTGTGTGTGTGGGGTTGGTGGTATGTGGGGGTTGGGTGTGTGTGTGTGTGTGTGTGTGTGTGTTCCTCCTGTTTATGCATGACACAAGAGTAAAAATGCGATGCATATCAAAATGACTGATTGTCCCCGGCCACCCACCGCCCAGGTCTGCCACTCACCAACATTCCTCCCACACCACAACTAAACAGTCCTCACAACACACCTTTACAACACCATACAATACAACCTATAACCTCTGGGACTCATTCACTACAACGCTTCTCCACTGATGGCCATCTAACCTTCTCATAATAATAATTACCGCATGAATTGGTTCTTTTATTCTCTGAGTGTCTGAATGATAATTTTCACTCGGGTTATTATAACAGTGTGAAGGCAGTGTACCAGCAGTGCCCGGGGTGAGTTAGGGGGATGAGGAGCGCGCCATATGTACGGTCCCTGGCGCCACATTCTGCAGGACGCACGACACACGCTACGCTAACCCTCCCCGGGAAGGTCGTGCTTTACTTTCCACATTGTTTCGTTTGAGACAGCGCCCCCGTTGTGGGTCAGAACGACAAGTTATGGCGCGCACTTAATGCCAGGCGGAATGTTTACAATTGTCGAGTACGGCATCCAAACGTATGATCTTGCCAAGGCCATAAAGGAGTAATTTAACCTATCTCTGATTTATATTACCGGTCTAAAACAACACCGGTAAAAACAAAGCCTCCAGGTGTCTATTATCATGCTTGAAGACGTCGTCATCTCTCAGTTGGGAGTAAATAACACTAGGGTGAGAAGACAGCTGGTGGAGGAGTGCAGGTGGCGTGTCAGCGCCCTGTGAGCCACTACTGTCACTCCTCTCTTGACCACTGCTCGCCCCCACTTGTCCTCCACACACTTTTATTGACCCCTAAAAATACCCAGCGACCATCTTGAACTCTTCATGCACTAACGATACACTACTCTGCTCACACTCTTCATTCTCAGGAATATTATTCATTGACTTCTTCACGATATAATCAATGACAGCAAGGGAGGCTGCCCGCTGGTGCTTCCCGGGCCGAGGTGGCGGAGTGGTGGGCCTTGAAGTTACCGCCTACACCACCTCCTTATGCAGGCACATGTCAACACGCTGCTCCCTCACTACCAGACCCACTCAGGCACAACCTCACCCCTGTACGTAGGTCACCTGATATTACTTAACCTTCAACCTAACTGCCACATAAATCCCCTGAGGAGGTAATGTTATAAGTACTCCATCACCTTGTACTGCTCGTAACTTATGACAAGGGTAAGGAAAGATGGAGCTTGGAACATTCACTCAAGTGCATCCTAACGGGAAAACTGCATAGGGGACACTACTGCTCACTCGTATACCTTATAGAGCTTAGATAACGCGATTGTACCATATTATACCCATCTGTACCAGCCATATACTGTGTTACGGTACAGTACACCTCATAATATAGTATCCTAAAACAACTTTCCCTACCACCTACTGCACCGTTTATTTTATTTGTAGAATAATATTACTCTACATATCACTTGTTTACTATCTACAGACCCTGTATTAAGGTACCATAATACTCTTCCATTGTTTTCACCTCTAACATAATCTTCAACAATTCAATTCATGAAAATAAAGTTCAAGACGCAACAGAAGAATAATTATCAACATACACTATAATAGTTTTTATTTCTAGCGGAAGAAGCTGACTTAGCGGAATAAGCTTACTTAGCAGAAGAAGCTCATTATAGTGGAAGCTCATTATAGGGGAAGAAGCTGACTTAGCGGAAGCTCATTATAGCGGAAGAAGCTGATTTAGCGGAAGAAGCTCATTATAGCGGAAGAAGCTGATTTAGCGGAAGAAGCTCATTATAGCGGAAGAGGCTGATTTAGCGGAAGAAGCTCATTATAGCGGAAGAAGCTGATTTAGCGGAAGAAGCTCATTATAGCGGAAGAAGCTGATTTAGCGGAAGAAGCTCATTATAGCGGAAGAAGCTGATTTAGCGGAAGAAGCTGCCTTAGCGGAAGAAGCTCATTTAGCCGAGAAAATCAAACCACATTAAAAGATGAAAATATACGTAATATATATAGAATCGAATTGTAAAGTTGCTAATCAAGTTAGGGCGAATATTTAATTGTATAATTTACTTAAATAAGCCAGTTGGACATCCTAGGCACTACAACGGCGGAATAAAACTTTCTCTCATTTTATTATCTTTATCTCTTTCTCTGTATCTCTCTCATTTCTCCTACTTCTCACTATCTCCCTTTTTCATTCTCTCTCTCTCCTCTTTCTCTTATTCCCTTTACCTCTCTCTGTATCTCTCTCTACTCTATTTCTCTCCTCTCTCTTTATCTCCTCTCCCTTTCCCCTTCTCTCTCTCTCTCTCTCTCTACAGCTCTAGACTCCAACCATTATGTACTACAGTGAACCTTATACAGCAAGAACTATATTGATCTGGATTAATTCCGAGAACGAAATTTATGACCAGATTAATTTTCCACTTTTTTCCCCATACAATAAGTCAACTATATAGCGGGAAGTAATACATTATCTAGTGCCCAGGTGCAAACATATGGGTTATGTAGTGCCCAGGTGCCAATATATGGGTTATCTAGTGCCCAGGTGCCAACATATGGGTTATGTAGTGCCCAGGTGTCAATATATGGGTTATCTAGTGCCCAGGTGCCAACATATGGGTTATGTAGTGCCCAGGTGCCAATATATGGGTTATCTAGTGCCCAGGTGCAAACATATGGGTTATCTAGTGCCCAGGTGCCAATATATGGGTTATCTAGTGCCCAGGTGCCAATATATGGGCTATCTATGCCCAGGTGCCAACATCTGTGTAGCTAGTGCCCAGGTGCCAACATATGGGTTATCTGCAGTTCAGGTGCAAAACATGTGGGTTATGTAGTGCCCAGGTGCCAACATATGGGTTATCTAGTGCCCAGGTGCAAACATATGGTTATGTAGTGCCCAGGTGCCAACATATGGGCTATCTAGTGCCCAGGTGCAAAACATATGGGTTATGTAGCGCCCAGTGCCACATATGGCTATCTAGTGCCCAGGTGCCAATATATGGGTTATTCCAGTGCCCAGGTGCAAAACATATGGGTTATAGTGCCCAGGTGCTAATATATATATCTAGTGCCCAGGTGCAAACATAAGGGTTGTAGTGCCCAGGTGCCAACAGAGGGGTTATCTTAGTGCCCAGGTGCCACATGCGGCTATTCAGTGCCCGGCTGCCAACATATGGCTATTCAGTGCCTAGGTGCCAACATTCAGGGTAGCTAGTGCCCAGGTGCCAACATATGGGTTATCTAGCCTAGGCAAACATAAGGGTTATGTAGTGCCCAGGTAAGCAACATATAAATATTCAGTGCCCAGGTGCAAACATATGGGGTTATGTAGTGCCCAGGTGCCATATGGGCGGTCTAGGCGCCCAGGTGCCAATATATGGGTTATTCAGTGCCCAGGTGCCATTATATGCTATTTCAGTGCCTAGGTGCCAACATTCAGGTAGCTAGTGCTCAGGTGCCAACATATGGGTTATCTAGTACCAGGTGCAAACATATGGGTTATGTAGTGCCCAGGTGCCAATATATAAGGCTATCTAGTGCCCAGGTGCCACATATGGAAGGTCAGTGCCCAGGTGCCAACATATGGTTATCTAAAGTCTAGGTGCAAAACATATGGGGTTAAGTGTATGCCCAGGCAGCCACATGGGTTATCTAGTGCCCAGGTGCCAATATATGGGTTATCTAGTGCCCAGGTGCAAACATATGGGTTATCTAGTGCCCAGGTGCCAATATATGGGTTATCTAGTGCCCAGGTGCAAACATATGGGTTATCTAGTGCCCAGGTGCCAACATATGGGTTATCTAGTGCCCAGGTGCCAATATATGGGTTATCTAGTGCCCAGGTGCCAACATTCAGGGTATCTAGTGCCCAGGTGCCAACATTCAGGGTATCTATAGTCATCTTTGTTCACATCCACATATATCGATTCTCAAGAATTTGTATTACCATAAATAATGAATTGCCTTTAAAAAATGTTGCAACTTGTGACGGCACCAATTATGAGCTGTTTTCGAGACCAGACTTGACCAGCACTGGAGCAGGTTCTTATACATTCAGGAGCCGGTGCATGCCCAGTACTTGCCAACAGTGTGTAACAGAGATGTGACCGACGGCCCAAGCAGCTAACGAGCCGATCAGTGGTGAAGAGGATAAAAAGTAAAAAAGTAAAGTAAACAATATCTGTCTTATGTTACTGAAATCCATCAATTATTAGAGGACTTTTTGAACCAATTTCATGTGTCCAGAAAAAAATAAAAATAACAAAAACCACAGAAAAAATCACAGAAAAGGTCACAATTTTGGCTAGGAAAGGCCAAAGGATATCGAGGCATCTTTCAAACAGCCTTAACAAAGTTCGTTTTGTTAGGTTAGATTTGTGGCTTTGGAGGCTAAAATAACCACATCAAAAATTAATAACCTCACTTTCTCAAGAAGTAATAAAGAATATTTACGTCTGGTTCATATAGACACTAATCAGCACCAAGTGAATACCATCTGAAGAAAATGTCACAACACCAATGTCAAGCTTGATAAAATACAGGATAAAACTTAAGTACTGTACCCTGTAATCAAAGTCAATTCACTGCTCTAAAAAATAACTTCTAGTCACCAATACAACATACCAGGTATATAAAGCAATAATCTTTGTACTGTACTTACTCTTGAAGACGCCAATGAAGCAAATATTGAAACAAAAATTTAGTTTGTACTTACTCTTACAGCCAGTGTTCAGGGTGCCATAGTGGTCAGGCAAACATTCATTACAGTTCCGGCCAGCAACACCTACAAGTAAAATGTGAGGTCTACTTAACACACATTTTTAAACAGTAGTTCTGAAGTTCAATTTATTTTGTTCTTGAGTTTTTATGATAACTGTTTTATTATTATTACATAACCATCATGTGATTTAAGGTGCATGAATTTCTAACCCAACAGGCATGTCGGGTGAGGAATAAATACCACAAGGGCACAAAGGCTCCCCAGATCTTAGTACGTATTGAAATTACATCTATTAAGAGGTTATGACTACTGTAGTATAAGTAAAGTCATGCCAGTAATAAAGTGATTCTTCCTCAGAATAAAGACAAAGATTACAGAAGTAGGCATTATCAGCCTGCCACCCATACCAGGCACTGAAGCCTATGGGGATGTTAAGGTAATGCGACTAATACGACTCTGTTGGATTTATTAAAGTCCAAATTAAGTTGCTGACTGTGAGACCAAAGCTGATGAAGCTATTGTAGATAACAGTAATAAGAGCATGGTTTTGTGCCCAGAGGCTCCTGCTTGAGGCAATTACCGGTACTTATGGTGCGGGATATAGGGACACATATTCTGGAGTGGGGCAGCAATAGTGACAATACGTATATACAGTACCAAGACTTTGCCAAGGCATTCGATAGTGTGCCTAGCTTAGATTAATGACTTTCTTTATGACTAAGTAGTGTGTGGTGATTAAAGGCAAAATTGTCACCTGTACCTCTGACAAGCAGAGTACCACAGGAAAGTGTACTGGGACCTTCTCCCTCTTCTTTTCTTTTCATAAATGATGTACCACAAGCTACACACTCCTTTTTTTGTATGTTTGTGGACAACGCTAAGTTATTCAGGGAAATTAAGAACCAAATGGACTGTGAAACATAATGGGACGATCTCTGGTTGCTTCAAGAGCATCCAAAGGAATTACTGTTAAGAGTCGTGTCATGAATTGCAAAAGGATGTACCTAGGTTGTACCAATAGTAAGGAGGCATATCAATTGTCAAAAAAATCATAAAATCATCATAATATGAGACCGAATGTATAAAAGACCTGGGTGTGTAAGATGACAATGACTTGTAGTTCTCAGACCATTGTGAGAAGAAGGTAAGTCAAACAAATAAGCTTGATGGACTTATACAAAGGTTGTTCACATACTCATAGTGCTCTTCAAAAGTGAGAAACTTCCCCAACTGGAGTAGTCATCCCACCTGGTGCCTCAGATATACTAGAGATTGTCATGCGATTTAAAATATCCAATATCCAAAAGAGGACGACCAGACCCAGAGAGATGACCAGGATGCTTGCAGTTACCTAGCTTAAACTAATCGATGGGTGATCAAATATAAGTTTTTTAAGCACCTTATATGTCAGTACTCATTTTGATTGTTTATACCTAGAACAAACGGATGCCTGCCCCACTAGAGATCACAGCCTCTGGGCAATCTTTTTTTTTTTTTGAGCGGCTGTTGTGAACTCTTGGAATAACCTGCCAGATTGTTGTGATGGCACCAAGTGTGAGCTCATTTAAGACCAAGTGGCTAACAGGCCAATCAGTGGCAAAGAGGAGGATAAAATAAAGTACTGTACAGTAAATAAACCTGATTACATACCTGGCTTACATGGACATTCTCCAGTAAAGGGATCACATATGTGACTGACTGATCCTTCTGGATTACACTGACACCGAGGACATCCCTCATCCACACCACCATGACCACTCTGAAATATAAACAAAACCTGACCTGCAGTTGATGTCTCATGATATCCTGGCAGCTATGAGAGGTGAATAAGAGTAAAGAGCACCTGTACATAATTCTATAGACTAAGATATCTGTAACCATAAAAAAAATGAAGTTGAATATCCAGTAGAAAAAATAATCCACAGGAATGATTAAATTAGCAGCACAGAAACGATCCATTTCATGACAGAATAGAGTGAGGTAGAATAAAGCTGAAAGAGGTATGAGTAAGGCTGAGTTGTAAAGACACTCAGTAAAACAAGATAAATATGATTCATTTTTGCACATTTATCATAGAACTAAATAGATTAACACTGTCTCAGGAAAGTTGCACACACAGACTTAATGATACAATGTTGTTGAGGAATACAGTACTAGAATTAAATAATACTTCAGATTTGATGTTTACCATAACAAGTTCTCATTATCAAATATTGAACCTAATACACAGTGCCATATAACTTAATGGACCCTTGATAAAAAATGAGGTTAGCGTCCAAAGGGTCTGGGGATCAAGCAAATCATTCTCAGGTAATGATTACTTTTTATAAGAACAACAGGTGTGCAGTTCTGGACCTTAAATTCCTTGTCTATTCCACCATACTTTTTTAATAAAAAAATAAACATTTTTAAAGCACATAAATCATTACTGTATTCTATATCTTTCCCACCCAAACAAGCAGGTTATGTCCCGCTATAATCTCAAGTTTTCGCTGAGTATTTTCGAGTGGTCCTAAGCTCCTCAACTTTCTGCTCAACAATAAAAAGTACTTATTCTTGGTTGCTTTCATTCTCTGCCCTATTTTCTCTCTGCACTCTTTATTGTCTTCTGGAATCCTTTCTTCCTGTTTAAAATTACGGTCTAATCAGTGGTTTTGTATCGAAACTCTTTATTCACAATAAAATATATAGTCCAAAACAAAAGGTGGAACTGATGAATCTTTATCTATTAACAGCTTACTGTATTCACTTAAAATAAGGCATAACTACTGTACTTACAATACATCTGTCACACTGGCGTCCTGTGAAGAGTTGCCTACACTGGCACTGGCCACTCTCAGAATCACACTGTGCTCTTAATGATCCTCGTTCATGGCAACCACAATTCAGACAATGACCCCTGCGGAAAAGAAAGAATACAAATTATATAAAAACCCCAAATTACAAGGTACGATACAGGATATACAGTACTATACATCTAATAATTATCTAACCTCTATCTATGTTGGTGGTACAGTGGTGACACTACACCTCATATCCCTGGGTTCAATCCCTTACTTGACTCAGAAGTGAGAAAGGTGTTTCCTCCTCAACTGACAATGGACAAAAGGTCATAACAAAGTAACAAAATTAGAGACCAAGTGCCCAAAAGGCATGTAAGCTGGTATGAGGTAAAATATTAAATAATAATACTGTAATTGTACATGAACTAACAATGATAATAACAATAATAATACCATTATAATAATACAAAAAAGGCCAGACTACTTATGTACCATAAATCATGGAAAAACCAGACAAATCACACGGTTCTGAGAGATGAAAGCAGGTGTTTTGAAAAATAAATAAATTCAAGTACTGTACTGTACACAATATAAGGATGATGCAGGGAGAGGGAAGACAATGTTGTCAAGTTTATTTACCACGGTGTCCCCTTGCCAAGTACTAAAGACACATGAATCAGGACATTCTGACCTACAGCATTAGATATTACAGTATATGATATAGAAAGAGCTTATGTGGCAGATTGTTACAGATAATACTCATCCAGGGTATAAATGAATTATGGTAAATGCAGCATGATGGACTAATAACAAAAAATGCATGGGATCTCACAGATGTCCTTGTAGGCTGATAATGGGCTAGTACTGTACCTCACCAGGAATGTTACTGTGGAAGTATCTTTGAACTAGGAAAAGTGATGAGTGAGTTATCCTTTCAAATATATACATGATAAAAGTTTTCTGGGAAGGTTATTATTGTTTACTGCTATGAAGGCGTTTTTCTGCATCAAATCGAGGAAGTGAAGCACCACACACACACACACAGATGACAGCAGTGTACCATCTGGGAATGTACACAGCATAGAGACAAGGTGATAGATAAACAGCTAAATACATAGATCTGATCTACCCCTCTTCCTCCTACCTCTATTATTCAGTATGGAGTAAAGAGTTATTGCTAACAGGGTTCTCCCTTGGATCTACCAGTGTTCATGTTCCATCACACTGGTGAATCAGTATAATATAATTTTATTATCCTTAAATCTTACCTTTTTGGATCACCATAATATTTGTCTTTACACTTTTCACAATGCCAGCCAGCAGTGTTACCAACACACTTGAGGCACTGTCCAGTCTGGCGGTCACAATTATCACGTTTCCGTAAGTCAAGGTTGCCATTACACTGACATGGCTGGCAGAAATTGCCAGGGACAAGTGGGTTGCCAAAATATCCATCAGCACATCTGAAGATTTTAGACAAAAATAAGTGTAATTACTAAACACATAATTTTTCATAAAGTACTTTCTTTCAGTAAATAATTCTAGACTAAGTTAATAATCTGAAACCAACATGAGTTTTACTTAACTCTAACAAAATCCATTGTAATGTCTGTATATATTGGGTACTTAAAATATAAAACTTGGTCTCCAGCCAGTATTATATTGTATGAAGCAATACTTTATAAAAAAATAAAAAAATAAATAACTGAGCCCACAACAGTTTACCATTATCTACTGTTGGTATAAGATTTCCTGATCCACATACAGTACTGTGCTTATATTATAGTACAGTACTGTATGTTAACAGATTACAGCTCCTCCCCGACTTACGACGGGGTTCGGGACCCAAATCCAGGTCGTAAGTCAAAATGGCCGTAAGTCGAAAATGCTTAAATAATACAGTACATAGAAAATCTAAAATGGGTGTCACTTTTTCTTCTCAGCACCACAAAACTCTCACTTTTAAGCTTGCCAGCCATTTTAAAGTGAATTACAAATAGAAATTTTGTCTGTGTACTGAAGTTGGGACTCGAAAATACGTAATTTGACAAAATTTTGGTACGACTGAGGCAGGTTGTAAGTGTGGGTGGTCGTAAGTCGAGTAGGTCGTAAGTCTGGGAGGAGCTGTATAAGCAAAGTGATAAAATACAATTCCCCTAAAGCAGAACATAGGCTGCTCAGTGATCAGTGAGGATTATGGTGTATTGGTAAGTGTGACATACTGGCCCAGTTGAATTCCTAGTTTTAAATCCTGGACAGTAAAAAAAATAAATCTTTCAAATTTGGTAGAAATACTGGGTAATGTACTTAATCACATGTCACTGAAGGATCTCATAAAGTTCCAGGTTGGGGGGAAGGAAGTGATCACAAGATATAGCCTAGAAAAACAATTTTATTCCCCCATCATCCCTCATGATGATCAAAAGCTCTGTGGTAATAACTGATGGCCAATGGGACATGGAAGTGTGAGCTGTGGTCTGGCTGGTGAACTTCCCAACGATTAAGTAAATATCATAAAACCAAGACAAACTTTAAAACAAAGTACTGTAAAACAATATGTACTGTAATATAGCATGCCTTAATAGTTTAACAACAACATATTATACATTTATTCCACTCCAGAAATATTAACAGTGTAACATATTCTGTACCATGAAACATACCTTTCACATTTGACTCCATTATAACCTGTTGGACACTGACATTTGTATCCACCAAGGTCAAGGTCTGGGACACATCTGGGGGTGAAGTGGTTAGCTCCAAGAGGCAGTGGACACTCACATGCACGGCAAGCATCAGGAGTGCCCAAGGTGGCATCTCCAAAATACCCTGCAGCACACCTCTCACATTTATGACCAACTGTGTTATGCTTGCACTCCTGTCAAAATAAAAACAGTTTACATTTACTGCAATTATCGATTTAAAACATAGTCATAACTCACTTAACACTATGGGATGCACACTGTAAGGGCTCTCATTAACTTATAGCTTTGACAATTTGTTTCTAATACCATGTACGCTCTTCTGAGAACTCCATGTGTATTAATACTGTGTCAAGCTATATTTCTTCTAACACATGGAGGTTGTTCACATATTCTCTTGTGAAAACAGAAAAATAATTTATTCAATGCCTCTACCTTGTCCTGATCTGAGTGTTCCTAAACCCCATTTTCAAGTCTCAGGTCTGATACATCTGTGTCTTTAATTTCAATTTTGTGGAATGGTAGGAAGCTTTAGGGTTTGACTTGTTCCCTTAAAAAAGGATTGAAAGTATTTTTTCTCTCTCTTTCTCTCCAAAATACATTAATGCCTCACTCTATCCTTCCAAGTCACCGAGTCCCTCTACTGATCTAGGCATTACTGCATATTGTACCTGATTCAATACACTTTAAGAACTTACCCCACAGGCACCACTGAAGGGGTCACAAGTATCCACATGACCACTACACTCACAGGATGCACAGACTCCACCATACACCGTCTTGTTGACTCTTCGGTATCCTGGTTTACAGAACTCACAGGACAAGCCACTATATCCTTTGGGGAAAAAACAAGATGTAAATAAAATGAAGACCTGTTTTTTATGTCAATAGTGTGTATGCCTCTTCATAATTCACATAAAAAATTAAATCTACCTCCATTATGCTTCTTCACTTTACCTATTCAAGAATTCTCAGTTACCCTCATAACTAAATTATGCTAAAAAAATCTGTTCAAGTATTCTACTCACTAATTGCCTATCATACAAATAAAACAAGTATTAATTCCTTACACATAAGAAGAAGAAAAAGAAAAGGAAAAAATGCAGAAAGACAAAAATCGGGAAAGAAAAGTGAAGAAATGGAAAAAGCAACAATCACTGAAGAAAAGTCCTATTTGATCAATGACAGGACTGGCAGGTGCATTCAATGATGTACTCTATTACAGTATGCTATATTCAGTTACCACACAATGCACAAAAAGAGAACCTCATCCTCCACTCTGGTTGGGAATTGAACCCATTACCATCCACTTGCAAGTAAAATACACTACTGTCCTCTGCCAACTGAGCTACAAAGTCCTAAGGAAAAAGGATCAGTAATACTGTAATAAAATATTCAAGCTGCCAGTGTTACCTGGAGGACAATTGCAGCGTTCCACAGCACCAGTCACAAGAGTTGCCGTGCCTTCAGCTCCATATTCCAGGATCACATTGTGGAGACTGAAGAAAATAAATACTGTATCACAAGCATATACAGTACATGCCAAACAGCAAACCAAGTAACTTTACACTTTAAATAAAACATACAGTACTGTACATATACATACAGTACAAAAAATTAAAACTGGATTATGAATTACAACACTGCATTTTAATAAAAGTAAATTATTTTGCTGACAATGATCAACACTATCGTATTAAAACACTCAAAACCACAATCATATACCTTCTGCAATGTCTCGCTCCCCTCTGGGTGCTCATGACAGAAAGCATCCAGGTTGCTCAATCATTACAAACATTGTTTTAATTTTCTGCTCACCATCCCTTCCCCTTTTCTACTTTACTTCATCTTCTATCATTAAATATTGTTCCACCCTTCCTTCTCATGTTATAGGCTGTCTCCCTCTACCCAAACACCCTCTTTACCACTCTATCACCTACATCCTTCTCACATACATGTTCATACCACCTCAGAGAACCTTTCTACACCCACTCCACCATTCCACAAGTTATACCCTCTGCTCACTCTGTCCTGTAAAGCATCCCATGTACTTTGTTTATCCTTACTAATGTACTTCCCTTCTGTCAACTTCAGATGCCGCCATCAGGAAACTATTTCTGTACCTTAAACAAATTTAGAACCCAATTTTGTACTGCTATAAGTCAAGGTATTAAGAATTATATCGTCTCTCAGTTCCTTCTACACTTCCAAGATCCCATTCCTTCCTGTTATGGTACTTTTCAATCTCAATTAAACTCCTCTAATGTATACAGTAATTACCTCCTCCAGTATTTCATTATTTAGGGGGGGTTACGGATGGTACCTTAAATATTTGTATCACTTACAGTCAATTTAAAAGTAAAACAAGTACTGCATATATACTAACATTCCTTCAATCTGCACTGTATGGAATCTGGCCCTGATCATCAACGTTTCCAGAGAACTGAGGATTTCCATCATCTCCCGTCGTGACACTGCCTGGCCTCTGTATGTCTTAGGTTTAGTGTCAAGCTCTATGTCCAATACATCCTGTTTGGGAGAAAAATATGGTTTACAATAAGTAGACAGATACACCTTTTACAGAATGGGTCCAAGTCAAGGTATGAAAGAGTCATGTTCCTGGACCCTATTTGTAAGTCAATAAGAAAAAAAAGAACTACTTTATTTACCTTGACCCTTGAAGATTAACCACATTTAAACTACAGGCAGAGGGAGAGAAGGTTGGCTTTCAGGTAGGTAATATATTTTTTTATATCCATATTCGCCACTTATCAGCTTACTAGCCATTTGGGCGGTTTATCCAGTGTTAGTACAGGAGGAAACAAGGGACCGGGAAACCTGTGGTGTTTGGTAGTGAGGGTCACACTGGATAACACCCATCTCACGTGTGTCCGAGGCAGAGGCTCGAACCCTTGACCCGGACACACGTGTGAAGGGTGTCCGTGAGAAGGGTGTCCGTGAGAAGGGTGTTATCCAGCAATGCGATCACATTCATAAATATGGCCATTCATAAGTATGGCCATTCATGAGTATGGGCATTCATAACCCCCTCTTCTTTTATCCAGGTTCCATTATCAATATTTTAGTGTAAGCTCTTAAACATGAATACAGTACTGTATATAGTGTGCATATGAAAATGTATATCAACTTCCCTTTTATTTATGTATAAAGCAAAGAGCCCACTTAATATCTTCAACTCCCAGTTTAGTACATTACTGCTAAATATACCTAACCTGTCTGCATTTCTCGTCCACGTGCACCATCAGTCTTCTTTCTTTCCCAATTTACTTATTAATCTAAACTCATATTTACAGTGATTAAATACTGAACATTATCAAGAACTTTCACATTTATTCCTTCTCAAAAGTACATCATCTACTCTGTCACAAATCATTTATAATTTCATGACTATTCCTTTTATTTTCAGATTTGATACAAACTGATCCTTAATGTTACACCTGAGCTGTCCTCCCCTTACATACCCACATCCTATACAGTATTCATACACCAATTTTAGATACACGACTACCACCAAGAGTGCAATTAATATTTATAAGAAATAACTCATCTAGCCATATTCTTAAGGCCTCAGAAATCATATGCAATTTACAGTATTTCAATGAAAAAGATACAAAAACACGTACCTTAGAGAAATGGAACCAATCGTGTTCATAAAATGGAATCTCAAGAAGCGTAGACTTCCCTCGTCGGTAAGTGTTGTCACCATAAGCAATACGGTATCCAGCTCCCTGTAAGGTTTATAGTAATGATGAGTAATCTGGATACAGAATATGTATAAAGATTCTTAATAGTAAGTATATATTACATACAACACAAAAAAGCTCCACAATCCCACTTGATGTCATGGACAATTACAGGGCTCTAACAATATTTAGAAGAGCCACTCGCCTCCTTGCTTGAGTACTGATTATTACCATACAGTACAAAGATATGCAGTACTGGTAAAGTTTAATAATATTTTGTACACTACTCCCAATTAATGAATTAAATAAATATATATTTATACACCTTTAGTACTTGATAGCTCCATCAGTTATGCCAAACTGGTCTCCGTGAAGAAACCGTGCAAAGTTTGGTAAAGTCACACTGAACAACACCAGAAGCAGGAGGCAAGTGCACGACTATTGTACATATTTAACACTTTATTTTCTCACCTCAATGATGACATCCGGGCAGCGGGTTGCTTGGCCTGATGTGTCTCCTCTGAGTTTTACCCAAGACACCTTAATAGTTAAGGTTTGTCCATATGAGGTGGTTCTGCAAGAAAAGAATTTTAAATACACTGTAGTACCAATACACTAAGTAAATTATAAAATTTTAACTAAAAGAACAAAAATAATCTTCTATCATGATAAACATCTACACATTTGCCTAACAAATGACCGACACACACACACACACACACACACACACACACACACACACACACACACACACACACACACACACACACACAACCACCCACACACACACACACACACACACACACACACACACACACACACACACACACACACACACACACACACACACACACACACGCACACACGCACACATTTTCCTATATTCAATCTTACTGCTGTAAAAACTGAATTCATCTACTGTACTCTACTGCTACCTGTATTTTGTCTTCTCTCCTTCCTACCACCTACCTCTCATTTATTTCACCTTATCTATCCCTTCTCTACCTAAGTTTCATCACTTGAATTACCCTCATAGCCTTATCCCCCATACCTGAACCTATCTCCTTTACTCTTAAATAAATATGCTATTATTATCTTTACCTTTGCAACCAGAATAAAATTATATATATTTCTGAAATCGCCCTGTCGAAAATGAGAAGTACCATTCTATTTCTCTTATTATTCTACACAGGCAAGAGAAGTACCAATATATTTCTGAAATTAACTCCAAAGAGACGAGATAGGCATTAAGAGTGAGGAGGAAAAAGTTGAGTCAATTCAAACCTTGTGCCCAGATAATCATCAGGAGCGAGCCAGTAATAAGCATTGTATTCAGCCATATCATCATGTGCAATTCTGACGTTCATGTTCTCCTGAGAGGCTGCAACTATTCTTCTTCTTTGCAGATCTGTTACGTGCCAGTTTCCATGTTGCAACACCTAAATGAAACGAAACAATGGTAAAGGAATGAAACAATAATAAAAGAATGAAATAATGATAAAGAAATTAAACAGGAATGAAAGAATAATAAAGAAATCAAATAACAAAGGATTACGTGAGCGGATATGTTGCTTCTTGTAAATACTGTACACACATGATAAATCTTTCCATACTTTTTTCAAGATTTGTATCATTGTACACGTAGCTTTGCTGTTTTTTCAATACCTATCATAGTATATCAACTGATCTTGTTTCACTCCTAATAAAAATAATAACAAATCAGTGAGAAAATAATGAATACGTAAAATCTTCCGAGAAACAAACTCAGTGATATTTTTTTTAGTTCCCCCCCCCAAAAAAAGTTGTTCATTGGCTCGTAAACGACAAAACATCATATAAGACTTTTGATAAATACCCCCCAAAACATTATACTCACAGTGTAAACCGCTAGTCTAGCAGCTTCACATGAACTCGTAGCACCATTACAGTAGCAAGGTGTGCAGCCAATTGGGTTACGTGTATCCAGGTGGAAATGTCCTGCAGCACATGTGTCACAGCTAGGGCCAACCACATTTTCCTGTAACCAATACCGACAATGATCATGGTAAAGGTTAAAGAAATATGGAACTACATTAATAATTTCAGGTATTTTTAGACAAATGTACAGTTTATCCACAGTTAATGACTTCTTGTACCATTAATGACAGGTTATGCCTTTACCTTACAGACACAGTCACCATCACACTCCTCATTGAGAGAGCCAGCACGGTCACAGGGACATGGCTCGCACAGTGGGTAGCGACGGTAGCCCTTGTCACACCGGCTACACCGAGGTCCCTGATAAAAGACGGAGTATTTAAATTAATTTTGATTTCTTTGTTTTGCAAGTTGAAGAGAGCACAGATCTAGGTATCATGACGGTACAATTATGTAACATCTGCTGTATAAATATTTTTGTAAAAGCCTAATTCAATTCCTATGATAAGTATTTGTTAATGAAGAAATATGATGGTTCCCCATTAAAATTCCTATTGTATTTTTAAAAAGAAAAACGAATCTACTTTAATGGGTAACTGTATCAAAATAAGTCCTACAAATTTAACATATCAGTCAATCGTAGCTCCTTACTAGAAAATAAGTCATAAATCTCGTAAAAAAAATAACTGGAGTGGAACCACCCTGATACGTCCAACCCCATCACCCATCCATAGGCATCATTTGTACTAGCTCTTGTGCATGTCATTGAATAAAGTTTAAAGACTTTACAAATTTATGATAAACAGTGACTATGGACACCAGATAACAGACAGTCAGACACCTCAAGGCAACACAACAATGTTAAGATTTATCGTTAAGATCACTTCAAAGACATTCACTTCAAGCTTCAGAAGCAGATCGGTGTTAAGCTGGCAGTGAAGGCCGCGATGAAGCTGTCTAGGAGGCGGGTAGGCCCTGACACCCCTCCACACTGGCCCTGCCCCTCCATACTGGCCCTGACACCCCCCCACTGACCCCCCTTCATACTGGCCCTGGCGCCCCTCCACATTGGCCCTGACACCCCCCACTGAACCTGCCCCTTCATACTGGCCCTGGCGCCCCTCTACACTGGCCCTAACACCCCTCCACACAGGCCCTGACCCTCCATACTGGCCATGCACCCCTCCATACAGGCCCTGCCCCTCCACACAGCCCCTGACCTCCAACAGGCCCCTGCCCCTCTACACTGACCCTAACACCCTCCACACACAGGCTCTGACCATCCATACAGGCCCTGCCCTCCACACTGACCCTAACACCCTCCACATAGGCCCTGACCTCCATACTGGCCCTGGCCCTCCACACTGGCCCCACACCTCCACACAGGCCCTGACCCTCCATACAGGCCCTGCCCCTCCACACTGACCCTAACACCCCTCCACACAGGCCCTGACCCTCCATACAGGCCCTGCCCCTCCACACTGACCCCTAACACTCTCCACACAGGCCCTGACCTCCATACAGGCCCTGCCCCTCCACACTGGCCCCACACCTCCACACAGGCCCTGACCTCCATACTGGCCCTGCCTCCATACAGGCCCTGCCCCTCCACACTGACCCTAACACTCCCCCTCCACACAGGCCCTGACCCTCCATACAGGCCCTGCCCTCCACACTGACCCACCCTCCACACAGGCCCTGACCCTCCACAGGCCCTGCCCCTCCACCTGGACCCCCTCCACAGGCCCTGACCCTTCATACTGGCCCTGGCGCCCCTCTACACTGGCCCTAACACCCCTCCACACAGGCCCTGACCCTCCATACTGGCCATGCACCCCTCCATACAGGCCCTGCCCCTCCACACTGACCTTAACACCCCTCCACACAGGCCCTGACCCTCCATACAAGCCCTGCCCCTCCACACTGACCCTGCCCCTCCTCCCCCACATGACCCCATCACAACACTGACATTACAGGGTCCAGTTTAAGTCTTTCAGTGAGTGTATATGACCTTCCGTCCCCTATACTGTAAAATATACTCCACTCGTGTCAGAATAAATGACTATATTATAAATCTAACGGGTCATGAATATATGGGTCAATATATTTAAGTCGTCATGAACGGCAGGTTATGTTACGGGGTAGAAACGACAGCTCTATGGCAACGAGTCGTGTTATTGTATATGTAATGGTGAATAACGACAGACCATGATTCAAGTTGCCATAGACATTAGTTATTAAGCTCCTCATTACCATGGTTCGTGTTGAAGTTGCCATGAACGATAAGTTTCTGAAGGATCACACAATGGCAACGAGTGGTGTAGCGAGATATAGTTAGAAATTGCCATAGACGACGTATGGCAGCTGGTACTAAGATCAGACCAGTCAATAGGCAACCGTGAAGTAGGATTATGTCAAATTATAGCCAAAAATCACTACATTTATAAATTCCCCATCAACACAGATATAATGTTTATAAACAATAACATGAATAAACATTGGAAAAATACATAACAAATTTGCATTAAAAAATATATATACAAAACCCTCTTGAAAATACCTTATGAATTTCTTAAGGTTATTTCCTCTTGAATTTAAATATTAATATGAATATGTAAATTAGATAAGAAAATGAGATGTTCTGTAATGTTAAATTCTTTGTTGCCTTAACTTGTGTGTACCTGTAGTGACCTGTCGGAGTGTGTGTGTGTGTGTGTGTGTGTGTGAACCTTCCTATTTCTACCTCTATACACTTTAACAAATATACAGGCGGTCTTAAATCATTCATATATACTGTACTGTACTGCTAAAATACATAACTATCTACATAATACATAACTCACATGAAATCCTCGCTTGCAGATACAGGCTCCAGGGAAGAAACCAAGATTGAACTGAGAGTCATCTTGAACACAGTCACCCGTGGTCCCAGGTCCAGAGCATTCACAAGGTAGACACGCCCTAGGGTCATCTGGCACCACACCCTTGTTATGGTAGTGTAAGAAAAACGAACAACTTAATACTCGCTACACTCAACCAAAACATGTGGTTCATATTTCTTTTTTTTTTTTTTTAGTTTTCTTGAGTTTATTTTTACGAGGTATTAAATAATAAAAAATAATAATATATATCTAGTTTTTGAAAGAGTGGCACAAAAATTTAATTAGAATATTTCATTGGAAAACTTTTCTTACCTGAGGTCGGTAGAATCCGACTTTGCACCGATCGCAGTTGACGCCGTCGGTGTTATGATGGCACTCCTGACACACGCCACCTCCCTCGTACTCCCCCCTGAGGTTAAGTAATAAATACTGTACATTCTATAATTTTATCTCATTAGCACATCTGAAGAATGAGTGTACGTTTCTGAATTGCATGATTAAAGAAATTGTAACTTTACCAGAAGAGCTATTTAATATTTTGTCCCAACTATCTGTACAATACATGTAAAAAGAACATCCAATTTACCCAGCAGAGATCATCCATCTTTAAACAACTCCATACATTCCTTATTCAACCCTCTTTAAATATTATATAAATACTGTCTAATCCTATATTAATGCATCAACTTATTAACCCAAGCTAAATTCTCACCAGGTATTGAGGGAAAGTCGTTTTCTGGCCACTTCATCATCGTACACACAACTATCAGCATGGCCGTGACATTGACACTTCTCACACACTCCTCCGTCACTGTAGTTCCCGGCCCGCCAAGGTTTCTGGTTGTATAGAGGGCAACAGCTGTCACAGTTGTCTCCGCAAGTGTTGTGAACGCAGGAACACCTCGCTAACTGCAAGAATATAAAGCAAACTTGTTAATATAGGGATCGGATTAATAATGTTGAATGTTTAAGTTATGGAGAAGACCTGATCAACATTACATAGGAGAAAATTAACTTGATAAACATTACATAGAAAAACTTAACTTCATAATTCTAGATATGAATCTCTAATGTAAAAAAATCTAAATATTAAATAATAAAAAGGTTAAAAACAAGAATATTAATAACACAAAATAAGATGACGAGGCAGGCGGTGAAGAATGAGGGCGAAACAGCTAATGACATGGAGACGGTACACAGCTTAACACTACATGGCTAATACAATTTATCACAGATGCACATATTTAGTAGTTGTTAATTTACGATAATAAAATACAAAACAAAAGAGATTAATGGATAAAGGAGACTAATTGCAGCACTAACACTGATCCAAGAATCAAGCGGTAATATATTGTGTACGTATATTTATAACCATACAAGCGAGGCCTCTATCCTTCTGCAGGTGGCCACAACGGAACACCCTCTCACCCATATCTTATAAAAGAAAATGATAAATAAGTTATATTTTCCCTACATAAAGAAAATACCATCATAACACCTACTTGTGCCTGAGTATCCGTCTCACAGTTCTCAGCGTGACCATTACACACACACTGCCCGCCGATGCTGATGTCCTTGATGGAGTAGAAGTAACGCCTGTGAAGATAATGAGGTTAAGATAACAGCTGTAATCATATCTTTACATTGATCTAACCTAACCTAACCTGGTACATTAAATTAACATAAACTTCAACTCTTTCCTACGTTGATCTAAGTCATTCATTAACTAAATAAGGTATAAACAATTACTACACTTCTTTTAATTTTATCTTGTGTTAAGTAATGCTAAATGTCTCTTATTACTTATATATTTGTTTTTACCTGAACAGCTTCACCCACAAGGCCCAAGCTTCACCCACAAGACCCAAGCTTCACCCACAAGACACAAGCTTCACCCACAAGACACAAGCTTCACCCACAAGACACAAGCTTCTCTCCTTACTGTACTAGGTGTGGTGGTCGCTAATAAAACAGTATGCCAAGTCTTATTACCCACACCCTTGCCACACGTATTGGAAAATCAAAATATAAATACAAAATGTTTCATAAAATCAACAAATCGTTATGTTAATTACCACCAACAGGTAAAAATAAAGAATCAAGGAGGAATATTATCACTACGGCAGATGATTTATTTGTTTACTAACTTGGTAACAGAGGCGTCAGACTGTGAGGAGCGTCCCTGGAGGTCACCATGCAGCGTCCTGATCCTCTGAAGTCGCAGACGGACGTAACGAGCCTCTGTGAACTGACGGAGGGCTTTCGACGGCCCTGAGGACCCTGGGCGACCATTCACCAGCGAGGTGTGCACCTGTGGGTACACCAGGTCTCCACAATCTCTATTCACCTCAACTTACATAAATGACTCGATAATAAACTGCTTAATATATAACATACTTGGCAAGGAAACATTAAAATATCTCGGTGTAACAAGGAAACACTGCTGCATGTGTGCTGCCTCCTTCGAGTAAATTAATAATCATAGTAAGGGTTTATAAATGTCATGCAACTCTATTCAATGAAATGAGATCACGTTCATTCTTAATCCACACAAAAATGTATATAAAAAATATCCCAAATAGAGTCAGACGCTTTTAACGGAGTAAACAAGATCCTTAACATATTGAGGCTGTATAGAAACTACCTGAGGAAACATGGAAACAGTTCATGTGTGTGTGTGTGTGTGTGTGTGTGTGTGTGTGTGTGTGTAGTAGCAACATGGTGACCTACCTCGCCTCCCTCCAAGGGGTTGAGTCTGGAGAAGTAAGAGGTACAGATGACCTGAGTGTCGGAGGTGTAGACACCGGGGCGGCCGCGGGTTGGGGGAACTCCGAACGCCGTGAGGCACTCTGAATCCGACAGAGCGTAGTATTGCCAGGGCTGGAAATTGCGGCCATCCAGTGAGCGTTCCAGCACCCAGTTGCCAGGCCGCGGGGAGACAGCGCTCTTGACGATAACGTAAGCCACTTGATACACCTGTTAACGAGAACATGAACAAACTAAAACATTCACAAACTAAGAGAAAATATCAATATGAACAATAGTCTCTACATAAGGGAACAAACGTCATAATTACTGTACTTACCAAACTTGTCGATAATAGTGTAGTTTATTATACCTTACAATTTATGAAGGAAAATACAAATAAAATTACAGAGAAATTCTTTATCATGTGTCGGAAGAATCGTAATTTATTTCTTATGTTTTATTAAACTTTTATACTTTCTATAAATATTAAAATCAACCGATAAAGGTGATATATCTAACTATTTCTGGTTGTTCTATATCTTGACACACTTCCGTCAACCAGGTTTAATTCAAGCCACCAACCTCTCTGCCACACCATCTACTCCACACCATCTACGCCACACCACCCTACTACTCTCCCCCTCTCCATCCCTCCCCCTACCCCTCTCCCTCCTCACCATATACCCCCTCTCTACAAGTCACATTTCCCCTCTCTTATCACTCTCACCACTCTCCCTCTCTCTCCCCACTCCAGAAAGAAAAAAGAGAGGGAGGGAAGGGGGTCGTGACGCTTGGCTGGCGTTTCAGAATGTAGAAAGCTTATGATGTACTGCGGGTGGTGGTGGTGGTGGTGATGATGATGGTGATGATGATGATGATGATGATGATGATGATGATAGTGGCGGTATTCTCACAATAACCAAAATCTTCAGACCTGTGAAATTATTCGCGTATAATCGATTTATATTATGGTAGTAACCGAATTATATAGTTAGCGGCCGTAATGGAGGCTAGCGAACGGACAGTGAACACAAATTAAACTTTCACTCAGAAAAAAATATTACGCACGAGTGAATTGTTTTATTGTTTATGTAAATGAGTACAATGTTAATTATGTTTATTATGCATAAGCAACATAGATATTTAGTTAATCTAATTTATGGAGACATTCTTTTTTTTGGTAGGTGAGCCCGCAATTCTATAATATATGTGAGTTTATTGTAAATATTAATAGAATTTAGGTAAGTCATCCGCTATACACCTGACACTTATAATGGGTGTCTGGATGGTTAACCGGGTATTATTTGCCTTGCCTAACCTAACCTAACCTAACCTAACCTAACCTAACCTAACCAACTCCTATAAACAGATTCCATTATATTCCCACAACCCACTTCGCTTATAGGATACGTTAACTGTTTTATAGGGACTGTTTAATAGAACCTTATATCCATACCATTAAAGCCATTATAAACAGACTCCACTATACCAATACTACCTATTGTACTTAACAAACCCCTATTAACCGACTCTATTATAAGACTACTATCCACTTCGCTTATAATGGACGAAGAAAAATTATAAGGAACAGATTTGATAACAACTTCACTCTATGGGCAGACCCACACCAAGGTAATACAGTATATGTTGGCAACAGTGGTGAGGGACATGTTGGCAACAGTGGTGTGGAACATGTTGGCAACAGTGGTGTGGAACATGTTGGCAACAGTGGTGTGGAACATGTTGGCAACAGTGGTGAGGAACATGTTGGCAACAGTGGTGTGGTGTATACTGTATACAGCAATATTTCAGTTCAGGTGACCCATACAGTTAGTTGGTGGTGGAGGTGAAGCCAGTCATTCTGTGATCAGTATTGCCAGTCGTTCTGTGATCAGTATTGCCAGTCGTTCAGTGATCAGTAATACCAGTCTATAGTTGGTTCCAATTTTCTGGAGCAAATATTTCAAACTCTGTGGTGGACACCCTAGCATTAAAGCTTTCATTGAGACGTACAATCAGTCCCCTTCACTAGTGTGTTTACAGGGGCTCGTCAGGTTGTGTACAGTGTGGTAATCCTGTGTTTGTTTACATTCAACAGAAGGAAACTCACACTAGTAAACATAAGGAATGAAAGTAAAACAATATTAAAACAAATATCTCAATGTAATGATCTGTGGAATGTTTATATACCGAGCCCCTGTAAACGCACTAGTGAAGGGGACTGTACTCCTCAGGCCAATGGGTAGATGTCGTCACAGGTTACATCTTCAATTAGATCAGCCTCGCCGCACCCACCAGCAGGAAGAACGACGGCGACTCTCAACAATAAAACGACACCTTCAGGCACTTATCCAGATGACGACGACAATAGTGCCTTCGTGGGAACCCGTCTTAATACAATTCTCTCTGCCTACACGGGACGATACTTTATACAACAACGTATATACTTTAGTCCAAGTCCGCTTATTAGGTACGTCTAGTATCATTTATAAGCCATAACAACTAAATAACCAACTTCGTCTATAAGGAACAGCTGCCCAGTTAAAAGGGACGCTATTATCAACATTTATATACTGAAATACATTAAGCAGTTCTTAATCGCTTATAAGGGACACCAACTCCATATAACACCCTGGACGCTGTGACCCTTACGCTTAAAAGGGACGCTATAAAAACTCCATAAATATGACTCGAAACTGTGCTAGTCCGCCCATAAGGAGACACTGTACATCCAGGTCTTTAAATACAACGCCCTGACCACTTTAACCCCGGTAAATAACTTAACCTATGTATGTGTGTATGTACAGTATGTATGTATGTATGTATGTATGTATGTATGTATGTATGTATGTATGTATGTACGACAAGTTCAACTACAACACTAGTACTACACGTTCACTACAACAGTACTAGTGTTATAGTGAACATGTAGTACTAACGTTGTAGTGAACTAGTGTTATAGTGAACATGTAGTACTAGTGTTATAGTGAACATGTAGTACTAGTGTTATAGTGAACATGTAGTACTAGTGTTATAGTGAACATGTGGTACTAGTGTTATAGTGAACATGTAGTACTAGTGTTATAGTGAACATGTGGTACTAGTGTTATAGTGAACATGTAGTACTAGTGTTATAGTGAACATGTGGTACTAGTGTTATAGTGAACATGTGGTACTAGTGTTATAGTGAACAGGTATTAATGACATCAGCTATAAGATATAATGCTTCACACACACACACACACACACACACACACACACACACACACACACACACACACACACACACACACACAGTGAAAAAACAAAAATCCCGGTAAACGTAACACCAGAAACATACTCGGACAAGCTACAATTTCTTAACTGATTCATGAAAGCTTGACGCGGAATAAAAACGGCTTAAATCAGCTTAACTTGCCAAACTTAATTTGTACTTCCCTTTTACCTAGTGTTGTACCTAACATAACTAGTACTTGTGTGTGTACCTACGCTAGTGTGTGTACTACATGTTCACTACAACGCTAGTACTACATGTTCACTACAACACTAGTACCACGTGTTCACTACAACGCTAGTACCACGTGTTCACTACAACACTAGTACCACGTGTTCACTATAACGCTAGTACCACGTGTTCACTACAACGCTAGTACCACGTGTTCACTACAACACTAGTACCACGTGTTCACTACAACGCTAGTACCACGTGTTCACTATAACACTAGTACCACGTGTTCACTACAACGCTAGTACTACGTGTTCACTACATCACTAGTACCACGTGTTCACTACAACACTAGTACTACGTGTTCACTATAACACTAGTACTACGTGTTCACTATAACACTAGTACTACGTGTTCACTATAACACTAGTACTACGTGTTCACTATAACACTAGCACTACATGTTCACTATAACACTAGTACTACGTGTTCACTACAACACTAGCACTACATGTTCACTATAACACTAGTACTACGTGTTCACTACAACACTAGCACTACATGTTCACTACAACACTAGTACTACGTGTTCACTACAACACTAGCACTACGTGTTCACTACAACACTAGTACTACGTGTTCACTACAACACTAGTACTACATGTTCACTATAACACTAGTACTACGTGTTCACTATAACACTAGTACTACATGTTCACTATAACACTAGTACTACGTGTTCACTATAACACTAGTACCACGTGTTCACTACAACACTAGTACCACGTGTTCACTACAACACTAGTACCACATGTTCACTATAACACTAGTACCACGTGTTCACTACAACACTAGTACCACGTGTTCACTATAACACTAGTACCACGTGTTCACTATAACACTAGTACCACGTGTTCACTATAACGCTAGTACCACATGTTCACTACAACACTAGTACCACGTGTTCACTATAACGCTAGTACCACATGTTCACTATAACGCTAGTACTACATGTTCACTATAACACTAGTACTACATGTTCACTATAACACTAGTACTACATGTTCACTATAACACTAGTACTACATGTTCACTATAACACTAGTACTACGTGTTCACTATAACACTAGTACTACATGTTCACTATAACACTAGTACTACGTGTTCACTATAACACTAGTACCACGTGTTCACTACAACACTAGTACCACGTGTTCACTACAACACTAGTACCACGTGTTCACTATAACACTAGTACCACGTGTTCACTACAACACTAATACCACGTGTTCACTATAACACTAGTACCACGTGTTCACTATAACACTAGTACCACGTGTTCACTATAACGCTAGTACCACATGTTCACTACAACACTAGTACCACGTGTTCACTATAACGCTAGTACCACATGTTCACTATAACGCTAGTACCACATGTTCACTATAACACTAGTACTACATGTTCACTATAACACTAGTACTACGCGTTCACTACAACACCAGTACCACATGTTCACTACAACACTAGTACCACGTGTTCACTATAACGCTAGTACCACATGTTCACTATAGCGCTAGTACCACATGTTCACTATAACACTAGTATCACGTGTTCACTATAACACTAGTACCACATGTTCACTATAACACTAGTACCACATGTTCACTATAACACTAGTACTACATGTTCACTATAACACTAGTACTACGCGTTCACTACAACACCAGTACCACATGTTCACTACAACACTAGTACGACGTGTTCACTATAACGCTAGTAT